TTGCATACTCAAGTCCGATTACTAACCTCAAGCAAGTGGGAAGACACGGAGACTCTAGTCCACAGGAGAACACCAAGACCACTGGTTAGCACAGAGAGATCCTGCAAGGCAAGCGGGGATAATAACAGGCAAGGAAAAGATCAGGAAAGGTTGCCCACACCAGGACCCCATGAGCCCCTTTCTAGGGGAGTGCATCCTGCAGCACATGACAGTTCAGCTTGCATACAATGTAGAAGTCTGAAGGTCAGCCATGTAAGCCAGGTGCCTATGCCTGGTCTGCTCCCAAAGGAAAGAAAGCAGATGCCTTGCACTAGAAAGACAGCTGAGGTGGTGTGGAAGCCTCCAGGGTAGCCTGGGAGCATTGGTGAGCAGGGCACTCCCATACCAGGTTCTGTCCTAATGCCACAGGCTCATCTTTCAGCAGCTCATGGAAGCAGCCTCATCTACACCACTCCTCTCTCTGTGGAGTCCAGGCCCACGGACAGTGCTTAAGCGCCCAGCCTCAGGACCAGGGGGCCTGCTGCCCTTCACCTGACTCTGCCTTCTGAAGCTGGTCTTAGGGCCAGTGCCCCGGTCTCCTCTCCTCATCCGTGGTAGGAGACCACGCTAGCTCTTATTTCATAAGGTGGTGGTGAGGATTAAGGGGACTGGAACGTCAGAAATGCTTACACCTCTCCTCAGAATTGGGAGGCATGGGATGCAGAGACCCCAGTGGGGATGCTGCGTGGATCCGCGTCCAGGTTGCCTCTGTTGCTATCAACTAGAGTGATAGCAACAGCTAGATCTCAAAAGTGTTTCCTCGGCTTTACTTTCCTCCTGTGCATTAGGGGAAATGAGAGTCACACCACGGGGTTGTTGAGAGGCTTAAATGATCTAAAATTACACAGCACTTAGAACAGCCCGCATTGAGCCGGGTGAGTGCTCAGCAACGCAATGGCATCGGGCAGCTGCTGTCCAGCCCTGCTTTATCAGGTTGACATTGTACAGAGTGATCCTGTAAATGAGTGGGGTGACCCGAGGCACTTGTGATCCTGTTCTGTAAACCGATAACATTAGCCAGAAAATGGCCACTTCTCTTTATTATGTTCCCATGTCGGCCAGGACTTTCACTCATGTTACCACCCATCCAGGCTACTTCTCCTATCTGAGTCCTGTCCCTCAACTTCTTGACAGGGATATGGCCACAGGAAGATCTCCTGTGACCAAATCACAAGCTTCCCCTCACCTCCCCCTGTCTGGGTACACAACATTGTATGGCTAATCATCAAGCTTATCAAATGGAAAACTTAACCACAAATAAGCTGGTTTCATCACACCTTGTAAGGGTATGTTAACTGTTCCATTTGGTTTGACTTGAGTCCAGCCCCAAATCTTGCAGGGTTTTCATAGAGGCAGCTACTATTTATAGCTTACATCTTCGTGGGCATTTCCTAAGAGTTGTGGGCACTCTATACACATGTTGTCTGTTAGTTCTCCCTTGTTTAAGCTACCAAAAGGCCATGAGTGCTATGGTTTGAACGTGTGGAGAAGACAGTCCCTAAGTTCACATGTTAATGCTGTCTAGAGGTGGGGCCTATAAGCGGTAATTAAGATTAGGCCAGATTATAAGGGAGGAACCCCATGATATGATGGCATTTGTGGCTGGATGACAAGGGGGAAGAGAGACTTGATGTAGCATGCTTGCTCTTTCACAACATCCCATTCTTTCTGCTCTGTTTGAAGGTGGCTAGAAGATCCCCATGAGATGCAAAGGAGAAGCCAGTGCATAACTTAAACTTCCGGGGGTCTAGAACCGTGATCCTATAAAACATCCGGACATAAGTTGTTCCAGCTAAGATATTGTGTGATAGCAACAGCAAATGAGCTAAGATAATAAGAATGTGAGCTCTTGTGATCTCCTTAGCCTATGGGCCAGCAGCTGACCTGGGTGTTTTTGGAAATGGAGACTCCAGAGGAGAGGAGTCAAGTCATTTTGCTTAAACTCCTCTATGGAGCACTGGATTGTGTGGTGAGCTCCACAAGCTTGTCTAGAGAAGAGTTCAGATGTCATGGGGAAAGATTGTGATGGTCTGAACATACCAGACGAGGAAGAATTAACATCCCTGCTTTGAGTCTGACATAGGGGAGCTGCTGGAGAGACTGACTTAAAGGAGGGAAGAGTGATTTTCGCTATGGTTTCAGAGGGCTCCACCCACCGTGGTGGGGAGCAGCACTCACCGTGGCGGGGAGCATTTGGTGGAATGGAACCATTCCGTGGCAGTGAGACAGGAGGGGTGGGAAGAGTCACAGGCTTAAAGAGAATTAAGATACCTATACCCTGTTAACTGAGCACCATAGGAGAAAAATGTAAACTGTTCAAAGAGATCATAATCTTCCCACAGAGGCAAGAGACAAATATACCAAGACCTGAATGAGAAAACAGTTGACAAGGAAGCCCAGGCTGTGAAGAAGGGCTTCCTGACACTAGAGGATTAGTTCTGTTTTCATGACTCTCCAGATGGAGAGGGGAACCAGGCTGCAGATACAGCATGCCGTCTGAGCCGCATGGAAAGTGCTGCTAAGAACCGCAAAGGTGGAGAAGCTGGGCAAGACAGCACAAGCCAGAACATGGAGGCTGAAAGGCCAGGGGCAGGGCAAATGTTCACGAGTGGTGTCACGGGAGGTGATCAGTTGCCTGAAAAGCCGAAAAGGTAGATTAGCATCTAGAGCCTCCGTCACTGTGCAAGTTTTCACAAGTGACTTATCCTCAATCTGACCCAGTTTCCTTGAGCAGAATGAGAATCATGGAAGTGCCTACTAGGCGGGGTCACCGTGTGGACTAAATGATGCCAGGCCTATGCACAGATCATCATCCTAGTGCCTGGTATGTGATGAAAACCCACTAAATAATCCCTGTTAAGTGATTGATGGTGATGACAACGGTGATTGCCAGTGTCTTAATGTTTCTGGAAATGTGGAAACTGACTGTGGTACTCCACTTGTTGCTGTAACTGCTACTCAGATATATATGTCACAAAGAGGAAAGGTCTATTTTGGCTCACAGTTTTGGAGGATCCAGTTGTTTGGGCCTTGTAGTTAGGTGGTGTATCATGACAGGAGGATGTGCTGGGGAAAATTCATTCACTACTTCACCAGGGAGCCGAAGAATGGAAGAAGAGGGGGGCAGGAGTCTTTCTAGGCAGTCTAGGGGCATATCCACATTGATGGGAAACTCTGCAACAAAGCCTCAGCTCTTAAGATCTCCACCACATCTTACTGGTGCCAACGGGTCAAACCATGAACCTTTTGTAGACAGTCAGCACCCAACATATAGCAAGATACCATAATAAACTATGAGGCCAAGGATTTAGACAATTAGGTGAAGTATTACCTTGAGGGGCAGGAAAGAAATATAATAAGAATGTGCTGTGTGAAATTCTCAAAGAATTTCAAATACAAACACAAATTCTCAAATACAAAATAATGACACAAAAGACAACTTACAGGGATATTCAGAGGAATAAAAAAATAAAGAAGCATTACCACTAGTTTTTATTAGGGAGATTATTTTAAAAAGGGTTTAAGCATGAGGACAATATGACTGGTTTTGCAAACCAAATGGTTCTTTGGGGGGTCACTGTAGATTTAAGGAAAGCAAAACTGGGCAGCAGGGTTGGATAGGTGAAATTACTACTTCCCGGGTGAAAAGTGGAAGGCCCTGACGGAGCCCAGAAGGTGACAGATCGAAGAAAAGTGCATTTTCGGAGAACTCTGGGTAGTGAACGTGGAAGGCATTGGGGAAGGAAAAGAAAAAACTAAGGCCGTGCTCAGGGTTCCTAACCTAGGTGACCCACCTACTGATATGGGAGATCTTTAAAAGAGACGTGTGTAGGAACGACAAAGACAGGGTTGTTTAGATATGAAAAGACATGGTGTATATGGCCTCCTTGAAGCCTCCCGGGAGATGGCAGGTGGAAAGACTCAGATGCTGCCAGCATGATGTTAAGATGGAACCATGAGAATAGGAGGTGTTTCCTGGGAGAGAATGCAAGGTGAGAAAAAAAAGGGGGGATCAAGGAAGAAACATTCAGAATCCCACCATTTAAGGAGCAAGAGAAGAAACATCTCAATGTATACCAGAGGGGTTGAAAAAGATGGCAGTGTGAGGTGTGATAGAAACGAGAATAGAGTCTGAAGATGCGAGTGACGAGCCATCTCGCAGACCATCTGTCCATCCACTAGGCGAAGATAGAGAAGGGGCTAACTGATTTAGCAAGGAGGTGGGGGACAGACAGAGCAAAGAATGTGAGACAGGAAGAGGAGTCGGGGATCCAGACTTTATCTGAGATATTTTGAGAAAAGGAGAGCCGGGAAGGAAGGCAGCGGAAAAGAGTTTTAGAGAATAACAGTGAATTGTATTGTTAACTTGGCTGGATTTGCAGTCACCTAAGAGGCACATCTCTAGGTACTGGGTGTCTCCAGGGAAGTTTCGACTAAGGACAGAAAGATTCATCCTAAGTGTGGATGGCATCCCACGGTCTGTGCTCTGGACTGGGAAAAAGCACAGGGGAGGCAAAGGGACCATCAACATCCATCTCTCTCTGTAGATGCAGTGTGACCAGCCTCTCACTTCAACCTCTTCCTACCTCAGGGTATCACTGCCGCATCTCCCCTACTATGATGGACGGCAGCTCTAAACTGAGTCCTTCCTTAAGTGGCTCTTGTTAGGTATTTTGTTATAGCAATGGAAAGGGTAACTAATACATGGGGTACTCAATATTTCTCCTCTGGCAAAAATCAAAGAATGTTTACTGTAGTGTTATTGTTGTGTGTGGTGTACATGTGTGGGTATGCCTGCTGCAGTGCGCATGCGGAGGTCAGAGAACTACTTTATGGAGTTAGTTCTTTCTTTCACCATTGAGCGTGCTCCAGGGGTTGAACACAGGTCATCAGGCAGTATGGCAAGCATTTTACCTGCTACGTCATATCATCGAAGCTAACAGGAGCTTTTGATTGGATAGAAATGAACGCATGAAGAGGAGGATGCTGCGGTGGCAAAAGGAAAAGAATGGAGCTGATGAGTTAAAGTTCACAAGGAGACAGATGAGCACAGCGCCAAGAGCCTGTGCAGAAAGAAATTTCGATGGACCAGAGCAACCAAGCAAACAGAACCAACCCTTTACCCCCACTTTGTGAACTCTGCCAAGAAGGTAAGTGTGTTTCAAGGTTTCGTACATGGGCAACCTCAAATTTTGCAGGTACTAATAGCAAGCTTTTAACGACACAAAAACACAGGCCGCGTACCCTAAGTGAATCGTGGTGATTGTTAAGGCCTTTCTGGAAAGTTGTGAAGATTTGGGGTTCCCACCAAAAAGATGCTGAACAAGGACAAGAGATGGGTGAAACATCAGACCCAAGGTTTGGTTCAACAATATATGGATCTGTGGCAAAGCCCATTTTAGTTACTGGGCAATGCTATTCCTCTCTCTTTTAAGAGGTTGAGTACAAAATGAGAAATATGGCTGGCACATTCTTTCCGGACTACATCTTGGCCTCCTAGACTCAGGGAAAGTCAGAATGTAGGACAATTAGGGATGCTAGGTAAACACTACTTTCAGGAAACAACCAGGAACACAGGCTCATGATACTAACAATAATCCTTTTTGCCTTCTTGTTTATCCTTAAAAGGCTCGAGAGAAAAAAATGACCTCAGAAGCAATTATGTGTCTTCTAATCATTATTATTTAACTGGATAAGACCCCATTTTCATTTTAACTGTGCTTCACAATTATGAAAACCAATATGTTTAACTTTAATTGTCTTCTCTTTGTCCTGGGGTTATGTATTAGCTTTAAAACTTTGGGAACCCTGCCCCCACCAATCACTGGATGACCTCCCATAGCAATCGAGCAAAGATATTATGTACTCTTAGTAAAGGAGTATTCTGTACCTAGGGGCAGCAAAGATATCATGTACTCTTAGTAAAGGAGTAAACATTTCCCCAGACCCAACTCTCAGTAGAAATGACCAGAAAGAAGAGGGGTATCATTTAATAAGCTAGTTTTAGAACATACACTAGGAAATGAACCCAGTCAGCCCCCTAATACATGTGAGGTGAGAGGCATAGAGATGATTTTCTAAAGAAACAGTCCATGGCCTAAGAGAAGCTAGTGGGTTGGTTGGAAAGTTTCAGGACATAGTCAACAAGGTGCTACCTTAATCAGTCCAGCTGTCCATCTAAGTTGTTGGCAACACACGAGCAGTACTTATTTCCTCTCCCTGGCTAGGGCTGCTTCTCAGTGCAGAAGGCAGAGAGGGAGTCCACCACTCTAGATGAATGATTGACACTTCTTCAGGACTTCAAGGAACTCTGGGCATGCTCCCTGGCTTCTCTGACTGAAGTTTTAGGAGAGTTCCTTCTATTTGGCAACTGCAGACTATAGAACTCTCTTGGTGGCTTGTCCCATTTGATATCCACACAGACAGGCTGGGTATCACCCTGACTTTGGACAGAAGATCACTGACTTAAATGTCACAGGGAAATGCTGTTAAAGACAGCCTTGCCTCCATAGGACACAGTGCACAGTGTAGCTGACAAAGGAATTCCTCTCATTAGCAGATTTGATCATCTACATAAAAACCCCATGTGGTGGGTTGTTATTCTTTCTACAAACAATCCCTCCCTTTTCATTGTATTGATTTGATTGCATTTCTCTGGTGCCTTCCATGGTTTTCATAAGTCTTGTTAACTTCAATCTCCTACTCCTAAAACCTTCAGCAGTTTTCTAGAATTAGCTATAATCCCTTGCTTGACGGTCTTCATGTTTAGGCTCATCTTGGTCTTCCAACGGCGGCCCGCACTGGTCTCCCTGGAGCTCATCGTCGTTGTCGTCTGTGTTGTCCTGCCCTTCCTTCCCTTCTCCTGGCTTCCCTCTTGCCCTGTATCTCCATCCTAAGCCTCAGTCAGCTCCTAAAGACTCACTTAGTTCCCATCTACCTAATAGAATCCTTCTTCCCGACTTTCAAATTCCAGCATGACCTTTTCCTTTCCAAGATTCTCATATATTTGGTGTCTTTGTTTTTAAAAACCTCTACCATAGAGTGTCTTAGTGAAGTCTCTTGTCACATGAAAAGTTATGACTTTTTCATTTATAATTCAAAGCCTGGATCAAGCGTCATTTCCAGAGTGAATTCTTTTCCATAGGCACATAATAATTCTCATAAAAATTCTCTCCTCATGGCGTGTGTGTGTGTGTGTGTGTGTGTGTGTGTGTGTGTGTGTATGTGTGTGTGTGTGTGTGTGTTTCCACAGTGGGTCTGTGGAGGTTAGAAGACAGCTTTGTGATGTGTTTCTCTCTTTCCACCTTTGTGTAGATTCTGGAGGCCAAAGGCAGGTCGTCGGAGTTGAGCAGCGAGCACCTTTACTGCTAACCCATCTTGCCAGTTATGTTTTGGATGCAAGTGCTGCTTGCACTGTGTCGGAACGGTTGGCTCTGGTGTTTGGGGTCAGCAGTCCGAATTTCAGCTCTGCTGTGTGACCTTAGGCAAGTTACTTAACCTTTCTGTGTGCTTCTGCTTTCTTGCTTCTAAAATGGAAATAACAATGGCATCTGTCTTAAACAGTCCCTGTGGGGATTAAATGAGTTAAGACATATAAAATACTTGTCAGATCGTGTGCCAGCATCATTTCTATGTTTTCTCATCCTTTGTACTTTTATTGATGAAATGCTTAAAAAAAGTAGAACCATGATAGCTGTTTGTCAAATAAATAAGTAAACCAGGAAAGGGACGTTTGATGCTTCTTTATAATAGAGTCTAAATTAAAAAAAAAATGGAGATTGTCCTTCATTATAGCTTTCCCACGCAAATTAACATGAGGTTTTTAACAGGTAATCGATAAACACATTCAGAGCTTTGCAAATATTAATTCAGGGACTGGCAGATGGAGAGCAATATAAATAAATTTGCAATGTATTATTTTCATATCAAATCAGTAGCCACCCAGAATTGTACATGATGTTTGGGAAACACAGTCCCTTTGTTTTAAAGCCCCCCTGTTGGGAAGATTATTTAATGTGCTCAATTGTTTTTAGCCAGTCTCTTATGCTCCAGTACTATCCAGCAAACCTTCAAAGCAGCTATGAGTTTGGATGGTGGAAGGAGCTGAGGTGTGAACGCCAAGACAGATGTCATGAAGCCCAAAGTGGAATTTGGACCCCAGACCCTGTTGCCAAGGAAAGTGCAAAGATGTGCAGTAGCTTCTCTGTAGTCTGGGACTCTGAACCCCAGTGGATTGCTTCCCTACGTTGAAGCTTTGTCTGGTCTTTCTGAGTCAACTGAGGCAGGTATGGGCCTATGGTACAGTCCAGAAGACATCTGTCACATCGGGGACCACATTGCAGAAAAAAAAAGCCTCCAGCGGTTGGTTTGTTCAGCTAGAAATGCTTGCACTGGCTTCCCGCCCCCTCCCCCTCCTCCCTCTCCTCCCCCTCCTCCCCCTCACCCCTGCTTTACCACTCATCTTTCCTCATCTTGTACAGGAGAGGGCTCTCCACCCCCCACCTCAGTGCTTTTTAAAGTAACGCCAATGGAACAGCTAATGAGGCGGTGGAAAGCAAGCTGGTCCCTTCAGGGCTGCTAATGACTCCATGCCTGGGAGCCTAATCAAAGATTTGTCCATGTAATTGCTGTCAAGCCAGCTCCAACCACCTGCCATTTCTGCAGCACCTGAGCTCCCAGCTCGGTAGCCCCTGATTCGAAATGAATCCATCACTGCTTCTAATGGCTGGGAAGCCAGGCTGCTGGGCAACCTTGAACCAGGTTTATCCAGGAGGGCAGAGAGATCAAGGGGCCTCCTGGAGGGCAGGCGAGGGGGTCACTTACCTCATGGGCTTGGCCTGCTCTTTTTAGAATCTGACTTCTGCTTTCCTGGGGGGAA